CGGGCAGTACTGTGCAGCCGTGAATGCCACTTCCAAGCTGCATCCTGCTCTCCGCGAGCCTTGCACCCCTCCTTGTGGTGCATGGAAGCAACTGTCGTGTGAGAAAAATCTGCTGGGCTTTGGTTCCCAAAAAAGAGCACAGAGACATCCATCATCTCTGGCACCGAGCACCACCTTCTCCATGTTGTGAACGTCTCTGAGCTAGAGATATAAACAACTTCTGCCTCTTTCTAGAAGTAAACTCTAAGCACACGTTTCAAACATCATTAAAACGGAGGGAGTAGAAATGTGTGACACATTGAAACAGTTACACTTCTCAATCTTAATGTTTGTTTAAAGGTTACTTTTGGATGAAAGCTGGTTAGAGAATAAATAGCAGATGCTGAAAGCATTCATTATGTATTTTTTGCAATTAGCAGAAAATCTTGGTACTTTTCTTAAAGAACATACATAATTTTGTGGGATGTTTATTACTGGAAGCAATCTGCTCTTGCTGGCAAAAGCTGGATCCAAGAGCCCAGGGAGGCTTCACAAGGAGTCACACATAGAAAGCCAAAAGCAATGCTTGCTTCAGGAACAGCACTTAAGCCCCTGTGCTTGCTGTCAGAGGGAAGTGGTCAAATGCACTTTCTTTCCACAGAAAATTTTAAATTAGAAAGAACATGGTGAAATCATCCCTGTTTCTTTTCCACAGACATTTTGATTACCCAGCAAAAAAAAAAAAGGTAGTTCCTGATTATACTTTCATTTGAAAAATGCACCCAGGATGTTTCATGCTGTTGTTTTCTTCTCTGCCCAAAGGGCTTCTTCCATGGCCCAGCTACCACCTCCCCTCTGGGGTATGGAGATACTGCTATGCCTTGGGAACTCCTGTGCATCCAGCATGCATGGCCTGGAAGGGAAAAAGGAAGTAAGGAAGCCACTACAGTTCCCAGAAAGTATCTCACTCTCATAAAAATTTGTGTGTGGAACATGAGGTGGAGCAGCAGCTTTAACTGTGCCAGTCCTCCCTCTCCCTGATGATTTCCATCACATCCAAATGATGCTGAAGGGGTTATTCAGACAGAACAGAGGTATTTGAGTTAAACACAGTACAAACCTCAGCATACTTGGTGACCATAGTTGGGAATTTCAGCTGGTTTTGATTTAAGAAGACAACAGCAGTAATGCCCTGAACAGAAACCTAAAGAGTTGCCCTCTGCTCAGTCAGGAGATATTACATCTTCCATACACCCTCGTAGATCCTGATAGTCCTGAAGACCTCCACCATAGATTAAGCTTTAATCCTGATACTTGATCTTATTCTATTCCCAAATCTCTTTTTATACCTCTTGGCTCTAAATAAAAGTGAATGCTGAGAACAGAAGTTGTCCAAGATACCATTTTCACGTACTATACCCAGCCCATCTCACTTTGGTAGTCACACAGCAGTCTGTGCCATTTCTTACCACACAGAAACAGCATTGTGTTAAAAGCCCTCCAGAGTAAAGCAGATAATATCTTTTGGGATGGTGCCTTGTATTTTCCAAGAGTTGTCTCGCTGCAGCCGTTATTACAAGAAACTAAACCAAACCCTCCTATTTGTAAATTGGATAGTAAAAGCACAACTCAAACTGGTATTTGGTTTAGGACTGTAGGGTTCACACAGTGCTTAAGAAGCATTTTAGACAAAAGCAAGCTTTTTGCCAAACATTTGAGGGGGAAGAGAAAATTTCTGCTTTGCTGTCTGAACGCAGTCATAAGCCAGGATGCTGAGACTGCCTGGCACTGCTGTCCACAGTGAAATCCACTGTGCATCTCCCACTTCCATGCAAGGCTGATGCTGCTTTCATCCTGCCCAGTTCAGTTTCTGCAGTATTATCCTGAAGAGAAAATCCTGTCTCCACAACCCCTGGCATTAAAGGTGAAAGATTCAACAAGGGGAGATGAGGAACTTGTAGGCAGGGAGTGCTTTTACATTAATTTCTGTGCAGCACAATAATGAAATAGCAGGATCCCACAAGCACTGCTGCCCCATAAAATAGGTATTTATCCAAAGCTGAAGTCTTACAAGTGAGGCAGAATTGACTGAGCTTCTCTAAGCATCTTCTCTCCCCTCTTTAACCATCTTACTTGCCTCCCTTGACGCACAACTCGTCACTGCTGGTTTAACATTAGTGACTGAGCAAGTTTTCTCCTGCAACTGCTCTAAGCTCTGTGCTGAAGCAAGGCACACACAGCTGATCTGATTCACATAGGAGAAAAGAGTAAAGGTACTACACAGAGATTTCCTGTAGCTGGGAAAAAAAAAAGTGCTTTATGTTGGTTTTGTAACAGCTTATGCACCAAGTTCATGTCAGAAACAGGTTCAGGTTGCTCCAGAGGAAGGTTTAAAGGTTTTCTTTATTTAGCAAGCACATAGAGATTGGCAAAAGCACCCCCTTCCCTATCCCAGAGAGCATCTGCAGTTCAGAAAGGTAAGGAAAAGGCATTAAAAGGCAGAAAGCAAAGAGGATAGAGCATACCTCAGCTGAGGAGATTAGAGGACTCAATAAAGACACCTATTGTTACCAACAGAAATACTCTACAAATACCCAGGCTGAAACCCACCATCTTAAATTAAGCAATCCATGAAAAATAGCAGAGAGATGCAAGATAAAATTCTTTCTCCTGTATCTCCCCTGGCAGGCTTATAAAGCTCTGCAGATCACAAGAGTGTGCACTCTGCTGCTATATGAAACCATAGTATGTATACATATATATGTATTAATATTTTTACATTATCTGTCTCCTTTGTTACCTGATCAGGCAAATCCTCTTCACATTGTCTTGCAGTTTCCATTTGCAGCCATTAACCCTGGGATGTTTGGACTGTGGCAAGGGCACAGCCCCGGGTCTCCAAGCCCTGCTGCACCACAGGTGAAGGAATAACCTGCTTGTGCCAAGGAGCCAAATGCTGCCCCTGATCACAGCCTTCAGAGACATCTGTGCCACAACAGGAACACTCTAATACTCAAACTGGTCCTGAACCTCACACCAGAGGAGCAAAGTAATCCCCTAAGCTGCAACTTTCCTAAATGCTGGCAGCCAGAAACTGCCAACTGGTAATGACAGCTGGCAGCTCTGCTCTGAACTGAGTGGTTTTTTCATTTAACTCTCCCCTTCTCCCCAGGTCAGCCTGGGCAGCAGCACACAGATGTAAGACACCATTTTCCACAAGACCTCAGAACTCCCTTATGAGACAGCTCTTCTTATTAAGGACAAATTGCTCCTCGTGGGGGATATCTTACAATGAGGCAATCCTCAAGTGCATGTTTATGGTCTCCTCTGCTTGCTCCTATCCCCGAAGTGAGAGCCTTAACTCAAAATCTCTGTCCAAAATGTACAAATCCAATGGGCAGCTTTGTCTCTTTCAGTCCATTCTTGAGGAGATGCTACAAGTTCAGGGTGAGGTTTCAGCAAAAGTTTAGCCTCTGCAGTTTACCAGCAGAAAGGTATCGAGCACTACTGAAAAATCCCCTGCTTTCCCCCACCCCTTTCAGACCACCTCTGCAAATCTTTCTAGTGTAAAGTTTCAAGTTGGAAGGGATCATCTACCTTAGAGGTCTTTTCCAACCCAAATGATTCTATGATTTTAAGTTCAACAAGTTGTTTAATGGGAAGCTACACATGACAAAACAAACTCTTTTATAACATAAAATGGGCTATTTTAAAATGAACCTGGCAGCCTCTCAGTTTCTTTTCTAGAGAATATTATGCTGTGCAAATCTCCTTTAAGAACAGCCTGGAGTAGAGCACGTACACACATGCTGCAGAGCCAGCAGAATGGCGGTCAGGGGATCAGCTGCAGATTGAGCAAGGAATTATGAGAAATCCAGGCCAAAAATGTCTCCAACAGCAGGTGCACAATAGGTTTGTGTTTCCTACACCACTCCAAGTCACTCTTCTTTCAGACACGTGCCAAATGAATTATCACTGCACAACTATATGAATACAGTCGTTTGATAAACCTGTATAATCAAGAAAAGGTATCAATGCCACAGGCAATGGCCTGATCTCCTGTGCTCAAAAGGACCTTCAGGACTTCAGTTTGATGGTGAAAACTGAACTTCTATACACATATATGTGCATGTGGCCACGTGAAGTATTTAACTCTAATAAATACTTACTTTACACAGATGGATATATATGAAAAATATCCTTTTGATAGATAACTGTAAGGCAAGCACTCATTAAGCCACAGAACAAAGTTTATTGGATCTCCTCAAATTCTTTATACAGTTTTGCTGCTAAATGGACACAACACATTCGCATATTGCCTTTAATTTTTATTTCAATCATAAGTCCATCTTGAAAGAAGTGATAACACATTTAATGGCATCTTCAATAAATAAAATGACAAAAAAATCTAGTCCTTGCACAGACACATTACAATCCACTCCAAATTCAATACTGCCAAAACATTGTTGGGTGTTTTTCTAAAACCTGCTTCAGAGGTTGTTTTAGCACTTAAATACACCGGAAAGTATATGATGAGAGAAAATTCTGAACAGAACTTGTGAAAACCAGTAACTTAGAAGCAAGAGTTAATGAAATCTCTCTAATTGGATTAAAGAACCCAGATTGAAGTATTTTTTGAAAAACCCTGATTCTAACCTTCATATTAAAACATGCAGTTTTGCTGGATCCTATCCATGTCAGCATACTTAATACAGAGTTAACAAGAGTTAAATTCCAGGTTTTCTTATTTTATTTTTTTTAAATGAGAAATTCATGAAGTGAGAGCATTGGCCTCCCACACTCACAAAAGCAGTCATGTCCATATATTCTGCAGTAGTAAACAGCTCTTTGTGGCCAGTCCACTGCCTGAACTCCTACCAGAGTGGAAAAGCTACTGCAGTTTACCCTTGGTTCTGCACCCATTTCTTCCCCAGTCCAGGAGCCTCAGCAACCTCAGTGAGATAAGAATTCCTGAAAATACAAATCTGACTGCAAAATGAGGACCAATACATCTGATTCTAATTAAAAACTAAGCTTAATTTAAACCTTCTTCTAAATGAAGTCGTGACTAAAGAAAAGCTGAGCGTCAAAATTTCCAAATTGCAATTCTGCGTCATTAGCATGTCACAAACCAATTAGAGTGTCAGTTAATGTAGGAACAACCACTCCAGCACTAAAATCAGTTAAAACTCTCATCTTCATGCCATCAGTGGAAGCTTAGGGCACAAAAGGAATGCATGGTTGGGCCCCCCCAGACCTATGCATACTATATAAGGGACAGGAAAGCTTAAACAAAAGACAAAATTGCACCACATCTGTGCAAACATTTCAACCAGGTTGTTTCAACCAGTTTCCTGCTCACCTCAGCTCCTCCTGCTGACTGCATTTGGCTTATTCAAGAGAATATGGGGAAGCAGGACTCTGTTTCAGGGAATGAAACTTTTTTCTGCAATTATCTTCCCCTCAGCTGACCCCACTGCAACAAAAGTGCAATAACTTACAAACTTCTCAAACAAACAACTATTAAAATTACACATTTTAAGGGAAACATATTCACTAGTTTAACCTTAAAAATATTTCCCCAGGTAACAAACCTTAAAGCATTTGGTAACACAGTATTTCAATAATAATAGAGAGAATCCATTCCACTTGTTACAAAAGACAGAACTGTCAGAAGATTTTGCTTACTGTACACTTTTTAAGAACTTTGCCATCTTGTGAAGACTATGCTGCAGTTCTATCATTTAAGATAAATGAGTATTGAAATCTAAACTGACTTTCTTAATCTTTTGCAAATGAAAACAAGGAAAAATCCAGGGCCATGTCATCCAAGAACTTGCAAGACAGTTTACATCCAGAGTCATAAGGAAGCACCACTTTCCAAAAAGTACTTTGTATGTCTGTTCCTGAAAAGCATATTTAATAGTTTTTTGACAACTGCTAAAACAGATTCTCATACTAACTGTAGCTTGACTTAGAGAATTCAGGTCTGGAGATATATAAGGGAATTTTGGGCAAAATTATACTTAAAAAAAAAAAAAAAAAAACCTGCTAAATTTGGTCCAAGCATCCATGAAAACCTAAGGTATATGGGTCCTTCATTGATTAATGCTGTTCAGTTGATCTTTAAGAAGAAAGTAGGAGTACAGCGATAAGGAAGAAGAAGGACTGCCCATGATAGGCACAGAACTGTGACAGAATAAACAGTTTCTTTAGAAAGATGTACTAACTGTGATTCTGCCATGTGAGCAACTGAACTTGCAGTAATGGAGAACCCTGAAACTTTATACTATAGACATAAGAAATTATTTCCTATTTAAAAAACAGATCCATTTCTGATCAACTGTTTTACCAATCATCATTAGATATGTGAAAAAAAATAAAAAAATCTTTTAAAATAATTACAAAGAGTGGACTGCAGTAGCAGCTATTCAAGCAAGATTCAAGCACAAGTTTAAATGGAGTTTCAAGCTGGGAATTAGCCTTCTTTGTCGAAAATTTGTACAACTTTTTCAAAAACCTAAAACGATAAAGAAGAATTTTATGAAGCATTCATCAAACAGTTACTCCAAGTTAAACCAACATAAACAGTATTTTACACTACTTTCAAAAAAATACAGGGTTTTTTTAAAACATTCACAGTAATTCTGTAACAGTGATACTGGCATCAGTTTTGGGAAGTGGGCAGAAGAGCAACACTACTTGAGAAGAGCAAAAGCTCATGAAAATGAAGAAGGCAAGACCCTGTTAAACACAGAAACACTGGAAATGTGTTTAGTTCAGCTCACACTCAAGCAGAACAGATCAATTTCCTCAAGTTATTCACATTTTATTGGGTCCTTCAAGAGTCCAAACAAGAGTTCCACAACATCCCTGAGTAATAACATAACTGCTTCATTAGCAGGCTAATCACACACACACACATACATACACATCTCAGAAGAAATGTCAAAAATATGCACCCTGCCATCCCCATGTTTTTTTTGGCATATATACTTACTTCATCAACAGATTTAGAGGCATCCACTTTTCTGACTTTTCCCATTCTTTCATACAAATCTATTATCGGCTTAGTAGACTGCAGATATGTATTAATTCTAAGAGAAAGCACAAGGAGAAAAAGAACACATTACATAGAAAAATATAAAGAGAAGGGAACTGAAAAGTTTTGAAGCCAGTACCTCTTCTCCAGGCTCTCCCGGTTATCATCACTCCTACCACTGCTCTTGCCTCTTTCAAGACAGCGGCCAATACATATCTACAAAAAAACATCAAAAGGATGACTGCAGCCAGGAACACCAGCTGCCATCCTGAGAGCAGGAACAGACAAAAATCCTGTAAATCTAAATTGGCCTGGCACACAAAACACAGTCCAGATTTGGTGGGGTAACCACAAGTCACACAGGAAGTTAGTGTCTTCTAGAGAAGGATGATGGTTTACAGTCCAGTTCTTGAGAACAGGATTGAGGTCAGAGGAAGTAAAAGCAACACCAAACTCTGTGATTTGACTGATCCTCAACCTGAGACATAAAAAAAGAAAACTACCTGATTTTCAGGTTTTCTTGAAAAGCAGCATGTCAAATGGGACTATTAGTATATGTCTGCACTAAAGGAAAGTCACTGTCTGTTCTCTCACGAATTTTGTAAGGCAAACTGACAATACTAAGTTACTGTCACTTAAAATGTTCTTATCTGACATTGCTATAATGAAGACTTCAAAATCTAAGTAAAAAATGAAGTACTAACCATAGCTAGAAGTGTCCCAATGAACTAAGTTTTTTAAACCTTTAGCTAAATAAGCAAAGCTGACACATGTACACTCTGTGAATACTCTTATCCTACTCATGGAAGAGGAAAAGAGTTAAAAAATATTTTCCTACTCAGTACAATCATGGTAAAGATCATTTAGGCATTGCGTATCTTTAGATCTAGTAAAAAAATCAAAATCACAAAAATTAGGCCCCATGAAGTGAAAAAATTAATTTAGTCTTATTTAAGGTTTTAACAGAAAAATTGTAATCCCTCATGTGCTCTTTAAGATTACAAAATGATAGCAAATAAGTAAAAAAAAAAAAAAAAAAAAAAAAAAAAAAAAAAAAAAAAAAAAAAAAAAAAAAAAGAGACCAAAATCTCAGGAAGTTGGGGAAAGGGGCAACAGGAAAAAAAAAGTCAGCTTAAGGTGCTGGGATACTCATAACAGTTTTTATGTTCAAGGGCACTGACAAATTAAAAAGACAGCATATCATGGCATGTGTTAAATGAATGTAATACATCACTGTCAAAATGCCCTTGTAATTTAATGACTTGCTGAATAAAATGTTGATTACTGACTATCCTCATAGTTATGAGCACAGCTCATAACTATGAAAATAAAGATTGCTGCACTTCAGAATTAAAACAGACATTGCACCAAGTCATTTTGGACTAAACAACAAATTACTAAGAGTAAACAGAATAATATTTTCTGAAAAGTAACAAATAATTCTGTAAAATGTATTTAAAGTTTTGATAAATTTTCTTTAAGAATGCAATTGCCTGGAGTACTTCCTCAATATGATTTATTCACATATGATTACACCAAGTGTTATTAGCTGTCTATTCCAATAAACAGGCAACCTTTCATGTGCTAAAATAAGTTGCCAAAAAACCCTTCAAACACCCAGGCCAAGTTTTCCTTCTACTCTTACATTAGCCCATTCTCCCTGTCAGAGCTTAATTGTTCTTCTTGAATGATTCCCACAATATTGCAAGAAAGGAAGTGACAGAATTACACACTTCATTACCTCATTGTCACAATCAAAAAAGAGAACAAAGGAAACATCCGCTTTTCCATCCATAGTCTTAGTCCAGCCTTGAAGATTATCTTCATTCCTGGGAAATCCATCAATCAAAAACTTGTTCTTCTGGGAATTGGCAGCCATTGTTTGATCCATAGCCTGATAAAAGATAATTCAATTCACAATCTCCTGCACATATTTATCTACTTATTAATTTACCCCCAAGATGTTGACATGGTAAGTTGAGAAGCATTTATTTTAGGATTATTGCAGATTTACAAAATGTGCTTTTGTTTCACTTTCAATGCATGCTGGTTAATTCACTGATGCGCCAACACAGCTACTGTTCAAACTGAATTAATTATTTCACAAAGCTTAAAAATCTCGTAACAAACAAATCTCATAATAAATCCCAGCTTTAAAGCTTATTTTCTACAAGATACCGGGAAGTGTCTTTATACAATAAGACATCAGAACATCCCTGATCTGAAGTTAATTTGGAAGGAAAAACTCCAGATAAATTTAGTGCCATGAACAGCAGCCTTTTTTTGACTTAAAAGAGATACTCTCATTGTTTTCATGGACATCCAACAGAGGCTGAAACTTTTCCTTTCACAAGAACATCAGTAGGTGGTCATCTCCTTCACCTGACTATCTATTTTGACAAAACTTACAAATCTTAGTGCCTTTAAGGCCTCCAACATCCAAATCAGATATGACTGAACGGACCAAGAGGTCCAAAAGCTAGTGCAGGAAAATAAGAAATATAGTTTCACTGCTTTTCCTAGAGCTACTAAAAAATACAAGAAAATAAACATAACCAGTTTTCACAGATCCCCAGGTATGAGAGGCCATCAGCTCTCCAGCAGTCACAAAGAAACACAAGTGAGTGCTGAGAGAAGCAGCTCTGTGTCTGCCCATTCATACTGCTCACACTGGAGGAAATGCAGTTCTGTCAGAAGACAGCCACTGCTTTGTTGCTTACTCTGCAGGAGTGACCCAGCAAGGAAATAGCCCTTCCCTTACCCTCTTCAGCAAGCTGATTGTTATTTCAACTGGCACGATCTCCCCCTCCTTAATGTAGTTCTCAATGAGTTCTCCATACTGGGAGCCCGGCCTTTTCCGCTCGTCCCGGAGAAGGTCACCGGCAGAAAGGTGTGTGTAGCCGTACTTCTGCAACAGGAAAAACAAACACAGGCTCCCTTCAGTCAGAGCATTTGTGCAAACCTAACATCAGCCAGCAGTGTCAGCCCTGTTTACCCTTGCATTGCAACAGGAAAACCCAGGGAACAGCATCTTGCCAGCGGTGGATCTGCTCCATCTTCAGTGTGCAATCTGACAATAAAGCACACTCTGCACGTAACACACACAGTAAGAACCAGAGTCATTAAGGATGGAAAAGACCTCCAAAATCATCAAGTCCAGCCTTTGACCAAACATCATAGTGACAACTAAACCAAAGCTTTAAGTTCCACATGCAGTCATTTCTTGAACTCTTCCACGAATGGTGACTCCAGCACCTCCCTGGGCAGCCTTTTCCAGTGTCTGACAACCACATCAGTGAGGAAATTCTTCCAGATGTCCAACCTGACCCTCCCCTGCTGCACCTTGAGGCCATTTCCTCTTGTCCTGTTGCTGGCTGCCTGGGAGAAGAAGCCGACTCTTATCTTAGTACAAACTCCTTTCAGGGAGTTGTGAATGACAAGGTTTCCCTTAAGTCTCCTTTTCTTCAGGCTAAAACCCCCCAGCTTCCTCAGCTGCTGCTCACAGGATTCACTCTCCAGACCCTTCACCAGCTCCATTACCCTTCTCTGAACACACTCCAGCATCTCAATGTCTTTTTGAGGTGAGGGGCCCAGAACTGGACATCCTTGGGGAAAATGCTCAACAGGGCTTTGGTCAGGTATTTCTGTACCATTTTCAAAAGCAGTTTTGTTATGTTTGGAAACAAGATAAGACAATAATTTTGTTTAATTACCTACTTAAAGAAAATACATAGGGTGATTGCAGGTCCTTTGGAGCTGGAAGAATGTCCCAAACACAGGCTAAGTCAGAAATCTCTATGTTCATGTTGTGGTTTCTGGCACCAGCTTCCTCCCCTACCTTGGTGAAATCACCTGTAACACAGCAGCTACACAAACAGTCCTCCAGCCCCTGCTACCTCCTTCCCTGGGATGACCATGGAGAGCAGCCCTTGTGGAAAAGCAGTGACTTCTCCTAAGGATGACGTGGTAGATTAAGGTAAACAGCTACACTGGTTCCACCGTCTGTCACACCACATAGAGTAAACAGAGAGATCAGATTCAGATCTATCAAGATGATAGCAGTGTGCAGGAAAACAGCACACACCATTGCTCTTTCACCTCAAACTACAGCTAAAATAGTCACTTATGAAAACTACTGATGGAAGTATTTAATAGACATGAACTTCTCAGGCATTTATCATTGTAAATAGATACCTAGTGCAAGCACACAAATGCATTCCTATCAAAGAGAAATGCACTGTTACAAATAATAATTTTCTCAGCTCATTTAACACTGCAAGAAAACTAACAAAGTGCACTATGCTCCTTGACCAAATATAAGTCCATCAAAACAGGCAATAAAGACATCTCCTTGGCATTACCTAAGCTAGCTATACATCCAAAACACAGCACGCACATAACATTCTCATCTGAAAGTTTTTACACAAAACAAAAGCAGCAGCAAAAAACTTCAGGGTTATCAGTTTGGCTGCAGCAACATCCAAAGCAAATTTCAAACAAGGTGTCTGAGAGGCATAATAATGTGACTACACACTTGCTGAGGCTGTGAACTTTGGATTTAAAAACTTGGCTACTGAACTAAGTACAACAGAAATATTACACAACCCACTAAGTGACTTTAAAACATTTCAGTTGCTTTCCAATTTCACCCACAAAAGCATGGAAAGTTAGTTCTGCCATAGTCATAATTTAAGAAGGGATATAATTACTTAAATCTCCAAAACTGTACACATTTGGCAAGAAACAGGAGCAAGATTTTGCTGTAAATAAGTGTGAAGGAAAAGCTTCGCAGACATCCTCTGTAAGCTCACTGTACTCTTGCTTTAATGTACATTGCATTTGGATATGCCTAACTAATTGCAAATCTAAATATTTATAACCTACAGAAGCCATAAACCAGAATAAATTGTTCCTTATAAGCAAGAAACATTACTCTGCTGAATGCTAAATTAACATGTAGCTCTTCTTGCTAAAGTTATAGAATGATGATTTTTTTTAACATCAGGTTTCTACAAAGAAGAAAACAGGAGGAAAATATAATCCCTTAGGTTTTAGAGGATTACCAAACCATTTAATTTTCCTTGGCATTCCCCTTTTCATGCATGAAAACGAAATGGAGTCAGAAAATTTTTGGAATTCTCCGTCTTTTGCAAGGGCAAACTAAAGTAGTTTTTAACAGCTGAACTGGAAAGCAAAAGACAGAAGTGTTTTAAAGTGCTTTTGTACAAATAGACTTGTTTGAGATAATAATAAATTATATTCAAGACTAACTCTCAGAATGGCTTAACCAGGCAATAAGAAAAACAAACCTCTCCTTCAGGGGCAAAACATCTTTTTGTGAACTGTACTGAGCCAAGCGCCAAAGAAAACACGTGGGTTTAAACAATGCAAACAAGGGGGGAGAGCGGCTTGGCTGCTGCTCCACACACAGAAGGCTTCAGAGATGTGGAGCTCGTGCTACCCTTGCCAGTTTTAATCAAGACGTTCAGGGCACAAAGTTTTCTTTCATTTTAGGTCATAGAAACCTTCAGCAGGCATCCTGAGCCGCAGCAAATCATCGCAGCGCCGAGGGCTCGCAGAAGAGACTGTGACAGAACCACACAAAACACGGGTCAAAACGCTCTCAGGCCTGGACAAGGTCTGCCCTGGGCAGCAGGACTTCCCAGCAGGGCCAAGCACATCCTGATGCAATCCCCACAATGTGACTCATTGCCACTCCTGCATCCTCCTCTGCAATCAAAAAGGGAGCAGGACTCTTACCAAATAATGAAAAAGGTGGCCAAATAATGAAAAAGCAGTTTCCCTAGCTCTTACTAGGCACAAAATGTCACACTGAAAGGACAACTCGAAAAAAAAATAGGTCAAAAAATAATTTCCAAATACGTGGATGCCAAGCACCTAAAATCTGGAGAGATTTTGATATTACAGAGAAGAAAAAAGAAAATGTAGAATTAACTATTCTAAAATGCATTTCAGAGATAATGTTTTCTGCTATGCTGTCAGACTGGTGTGATCTAGAAGAAAAAAAGATTAAATCGGTAAGTTACTATTACACAAGTTCTCATTACTACACAAGTAGTGCAAACCCTTGGTGCTGTGATGATTTGCTCTAATTCAGGACACTTGCCAAGGGTTTCTCTCAGCTAAAATAAAAGAAAATTTTGTGCCCCAAACACCTTGATTAAAACTGGCAAGAGTAGAATGAGCACCACATCTATTTATTAGACAAGTTCTCACTATTTCTAAAACCATTTTTTGAAGTATGGGTCTCCAAATATAACTTACAAAAATCAACTGTGAAAGAAAAAGTGCTGTCTTCAACACCACTCAAGATCATTCTCCTCTTTTGCTTTAAAAGAATAAAACATAAAAATATTTTTTTTTAAATCCCAGTGAAATGAAAAGGCAAACTCAAATTTCCATCCATCCCATCACAGCAGTAGTGGATAGAGCAGATCAGATTACCACTTGCTGTTTGATCAGCCTGGCCAGTCACAGCAGGACAAACTGCGACACACGAGCTGTGAGCTCCACATCTCCAAATTCCAACCCGAGACTGCAGCTTCCCCAAGATGCCCTTCCAGCTTCCTTCTGTCAGCTGGGATTTGCAACTTTCACTCTGCAGACAGAACACGCTTTGTTTTCAGCAAATACAATAAACAGATGCATAAAAATGGAAATCCATGAGTCACATCAGGCTGGAAGCAGGTGGAGTCTGCCCCAGCAATCTCGGGCAGCCAGGGAGGATCAGAGGTGCCAGGAGGGATCAGAGGTGTGCAGCAGCTGACGCTGGGACTCCTTCCACACCCCCTTCCGTGGGGCACGGGTTTATTTCTGATTGAGCCCTGGTGGTCCTGCAACAAATCTTCCCACTAAACACACAGCTTGAGACTTCCTTAAGAGAGCAGAAGCCAAGAAGCAAGAGAAACACAAATTACTGCTTTGACCTTGACTCCTATCTTGGCTTATCATTGTTAGTTTGAAAATGAAAGTCACAGGGCTTAAGATTTAAACAAATAAAATACAAACTTTTATTGCCCTAGTTCTGACCTGTCATATCTTGGGCAATCTTAATAAATAACCAAAATTTGCTACATACACCATTCAAGAACTAGTTAAAATAAAAACAGAACTGTGAAAAGCAGTTCTTCTTGTGCAGCCTTTGGGGTTTCTTTAACCTAGAAAGCTCTTGTCAGTCCTACTAGCATGTGGAATTAAATCTTTGGGGTACAGACTATAATGCAGCAGTAGACCTTCTGTCAGCTTATTCCAGTTTTTAAAAATGAAGAAATTTTCTTAGTTTGAAATATGTTCTTGTCTCTGGAACACAAAAACAAACAAAACCCCACATTAACAAACCAAAACACACAATGGACATCCCACTGACAGTGCCTCCAAAAGAGAAGGGTGGCAAACAGAGCACCCCAGCTGCTTCAGGAGCACTGACTCAAGTCCAAAATCTAATGCCTAGTGTTCTGCAAAATTGAAATGTTCAGGGATAAACCTTCAGGAGGTAGATTTAAACACTCACCATGTTTTTTAAAATAAGTTCCAAAGTTCAGAAATACAAATTTATATTCTAAAAATCAACTATGAAAACTTAAAGCTAAGTAGAATACTAATACATGATACTCATTAAAGAAATTTCAGAAGCTGAGTTTAAAGCAAACAATTTAAACCCTGTTTTTATTTCAAGGAAGTTAACGCTGTATCACAGCAGACTTCTAGAAGACAATTAACACATGACAGCAAAACCTAAATCCTCTGCTACTTTCAGAGGACCATTTCTGATACAATGAATACTTCTTTGCATTGTTTCCTTTACCCTGGGAAATCTCCTTATCATATATCCCAAAGCAACTTAACAGCTTTTTCCATTTGGGTATTAACTTATGCCTTTATAAAAATGAGAAGGCTGAGCATCCCACTTTGCGGAATTAATTTTAGATTTAACCATAAACACACAGGATAGGGCTATGGTGGAGGTGAATTATATTTTAGGTACACAGAGAGCAATGCCTTGCATAGCCCAAATCTCTACAGATCACCTCGCCAAAACAAACAGACAAAAAAGTACAACTCAAATCTTGCTTGGAATAAAGACAAATTATTTAGTTACTATTCTACCCATCAACCAAAGAGCTTTGCATCTCAAGCAGAGGTTAGAAGGATTTAAAATTTAAGCACAAGAAAGCATATTTTGTGCAGATTTGCTGAATGCATTTTTTTTCTTGACTTTACCGTAATGATTTTTTTACGCAAAGTTCAGAAGTCAGCAATAAAGCACATTTCATTATCTCACAGTCACAGAAGATACACTGTGGAATGCATGAAGGTTATTGCAAGAACCTGCATTCAAATGACATCATTCAACTATAGCTCAAATATTCTGCCTCACACGACACCACGCAACAGTCCCAGATGATGGCAGGCTGCACCTAACAAAGCTGTGGAAGGTTTCAGGAGTTAATCTGCAGAGCTGGAAGGGAGAGGATAAGAACTTAAGAGGGAATTCTGCTTCATCCCTCTCTAAATAGGAGGAACTGCTCCAGAACAGCAGCAATTCTGCTGTATTTGCATTTCTCTGACAATTCTGTGTCTGTGGAACATGCAGGAGTTAAGTCTTCCCTCCGTATCGGAGAAAACCAGCCTGGTTCAGCTGTCTCATCTAACCTTATCTGTGGAGATAAAGAATCCTAATCACTTACCCACTGTTCCCTTTCTTACATTGTGTCAATACCCATTTCCACTTGTTATTAGGTCTTCTTCCTTCAAATAATTTCTCCCTTTGTGTCCAAATTTGGCACGAATACATGCCTTCTCCACATTCAGCGACTCCAGCACACACATATTGAGCAGTTAAGATTTACAGTAGTATTTAACAAATACATATTTCACCTACAACATGGGATACCCATCTCCATTTTTTGGGAATGTAAAGCACAGTCTGCAAAAAAATTACAAAACGTCTTTAAGAAATTGTTCCCAGGTACTTAGTACATAATATCTCTTTTACTCTACAAAACACAGACACCCTTGGTTTTTAATAAAAATGGTTTGATGCTAAATTCATACAAGAGCTCACCTCAGCCAAATGAGACTTCTTCCACATGTGATGTGCTCTGTCCCAAATCTCCAGTATGAATAGCAACCAAAACGTATTTATAGCTCATACTGACTTTTTGTTCAGCACAACCTTCAGCTCTACAGCAAGATACTGGGTCAGATTAATTCCAAATGTAAACTAATATTATTCCGTCCATTTACAACAAGGATGAATGAGGTTTATTATTACTCAGCTACAGCCCCCTTTTCTCTGTGGCAAACTGCCAACAGGGTTTAAAACACAAATAAAAATACACTTTAAACCTAAAGGCAGCATTGACTGCACACAGGCTGCTCACTCGCCTGCAGCAGGGCTCTCTGGGGGCTGCCAGGGGCCACGGGGAGGATTTGTGCTTAGACAAGCTGTGCTGCTGCTCTCCAGTACCTCTGCTGTGTTTCACCCACACTTCCCTGTTCATGTGCCCTTTTTCTGAAGTTTTCCAGCACACTTGCATCAGTCCAACTGTTCTTTAAACTACCTCAGACCCTCCCTGCCTCCCAATGTAGCCAGTGACTCTCGTGGAGGTGTCTGAGCCAGCAGGAAGGCTGTTCTTTGCATTCAACAGGTCTGAGTGCTTTCTACTGTCAGCTCACTGATTCCAATAAACTTCTTTCCACGTAGTGAACAGGATTAGCAGAATTAAAGCAAAGTTGCATTTATTCAAATTTGGATTTCTTTTTCCAGGCTTAGAGAAGAAAATAAATACTACACAACTGACATTTTTCTTTTTGCGTTTCTAGCTGGAAATATGATTTGAGTAGCAATGGCTCATTTGAACTCCTCCTTATAAAGTGGTCTTTATCCAATTATATCAGCCTATCCAGCTATAGGCATTTATCCTCCTAAACACAGGCCAGCAGCCACACAAGGTACTTCAGCCCTGAGGCTACACTAATGGTTTGCTGAAAGCCATTAATGACAGCCTACAAGGTTCCCCTATAGTTTAAGCCCATTTGTTTGCTATGTGCCAAGGGCTGAATTTGACCTTACAAAAAAGGCTTTATGAGCACTGTGAACCTTCCATCCCACAATTTAATTTAATGAATATGCTGGTTTGAATGCTAGTCTGTAATTTGAGGTTTAAATCCTTCAGAACAAAAGTCATAACGGTATTTTTCAGTCTGGACCAAATTCACTTAACTTAGTTATACAACACGGAGGTCTGGGATGTAGCAGCAGCGTGGATAAACTATAACAGCACTCCCAGGTAACCACCAGAACAGAGGACACACACAATGAGTCTGTTCCAGGAATTTTGGGGTTCTTTCCCACCAACAGATTCAGGAACAGGGGTATCACCACAGCTCTTAGCCAAATCTTTCCGTGAAGGTATGCATAAATTTTGATCCTATATAGCTTTTAATTAGAAAAGTACATACAACTGCTCAGTAAAAAAAAAAAAAATAAATAAAATAGCTGTTTCAAATCCAACACACACACATGCTTGGAAGCATTCATCCCTAACTATTTCTGTAATTATCCACTTGGATACACTGTAATTATCCCTGCGGTTTTTGGTGTTTAAAAGGACAGTACTACACCATGTATCATCCACTGCTCTTTCTTGCGTATTTGTTGTCTCAAAAAGCTGGAAAAAATGTATTTGGAAAACTGAAAATTTGATAATATAACTGAAAGTTTAGTCAAATTATACTGTCAGTCTTAGGCTCTTTAAAAAGAAGGATGAACGATCTATGAGATCAGGATATCCTTTGACCTCTATCATATTGTGTCACAGGAAAAAAAAAATTGTTCTATTTTTAACATATTACTTCCACAACTTACTGAGATGGCACTGGGTATAAAAGCCAACACCCTGCAATGTCTGCTGTACCAGCTGTAACATTTATGGGACAGGCCCCGGGAGACACGGACCTTGATCCATGCGAAGTGCACGTATCCTCAATGGCTATCAGACACATCAGCTCCTCTCCCAGCCCGCAGCTCCGGCTGCCCGAGCATCCGGGTGGCAGCCACCGACGTGGCCGTGCAGACGTGTAGGGAGCCACCCACTCGGGATGGGCTGCGGGACCGGCCCGGCAAGGCAGCACCCAGGGTGGACGCCGGCGCAGGCAGACCCACCAGCAGAGTGATCCCAGAGGGAAAAAGGGAAAGGGAAAAGGGGAAAGGGAAAAGGGGAAAGGGAAAAGGCTAGGAGGCCTGACAGGGGCTGGAACGGGAACAGAAGGGCTGCCCCACCACTTCACCCACTAAAGGGGAGATGTGGGACAGTTGCTTTTATTTATGGCCTCGAAGGAGCGAGGAATGGATGGACACTCGACAAGGCAGATGGGGGTCCCGCCACGCGGCAGAGCGGGACACGACCCCCAGCGACCACCCCAAAGAGGGTGACGGACCCACAGGGGGATCCGACACCTCCCAGGGCCCCACGCAGCCGGGGCGCCGCGGGTCGCCGGGCCGCGCAGCCCCTCCACCTCACCTCCACGATCCGGGCGCACTGCGTCCCCTTGCCCGCCCCGGGCCCGCCGAGGACGAAGACGACGACGGGCTTCATGAGGAGAAGGAGGCGGCGGCGTTGCAGCAGCAGGACAGCGGCGGCGGGGCGGCGGCCGTGGGGCGGCCGAAGCGCGGGCGGGGAGCGCTGGGGCCGAGGCCGGGACCGTGACCGGGGCTGTGACTGTGGCACCGCCGCCGCCGCGCTGTCCCCGCGGAGGGAAAGTGCTTCCGGGTCCCGGGCGGGGCGGGGCGGGCACGTGGGCGCGGGGCTGGCGGCGGCGGCTCTGCGGGGACTCACAGTACCGGACCCTGGCTGGGAAAGGCCGAGGCCGGCGCGGTGTTTCAGCGGGACGGGGCGTGTCGGTTCCGTGTTCGCCCCGGCAGGGCCCTTTCCGCCATGGCCCGGCCCGGCGGCGGCGCCCCCGCTGCCATGGCAACGCCGCCGCATCGCCGCACTGCGCCTGCGCGCTCCCCGCCCCCTGGCATTTTTAAACCCCCTGCGCGCGCGCTGGCAGTTGGTTTCCCCGGGGCGCGCTCTGATTGGCTGGACCAGCCGTTCCCCGCCGTGCGCCGATTGGGCCGTGACGGGCGGAGGGGGCGGGCCCTGCTCTCTGATTGGGCAGCGGGGCAGCGGGCCGGCCGGGGCCGCGGAAGGCGCCGGGGCAGGCGGGAGCCGCGCTCGGAGCCGCCGCCGGAGCCGCGCTCCCCTCACGGCTGCTGCCCGCGGGCTGCAGCGGCGGGCCCCGCTGGGGACAGGGAGGAGAGGGCAGAGTTACAGCCCCGCAGCCCTGCCCGGGTCCCGTTCGGCTCTGCCCGGTCCGGATCGGAGGTACCGCTCGGCGCCGCATCGCCGCAGCCCCGCCGGGCGCAGCGCTCCCGGTGCCCCTCTGCGAGTGCGGCTCGGGGTGTAAAGAGCTGTGGGAGGAGTGGGGGTGGGCTTCTGCTTCGTGCTTGTCAACTTGAAATAGTGGGGCTTTAAAAAGAAAATGTTCTCTTTTACAAATTTAAGTTTGAGGCTTGTTCGTTGTTGTTAAGTTGTTGGGCTTCTAAGGGGAGTTTATAAACTGCCGCTGGAAGCATCCGAGGTGGCCGAGCTCCTTGGAGGACTGCCTTAAAAATAAAGTTATTTCCTGGCAAGTTGAAATGCTGAGGAAGCCCCTATGCTTGGCAATATTTCATGCTTGAGATAGCTACAAAACACGTCTTGCTTATTTGTTGAAAGGTATTGAGGTAATTGCCAAATTATATGGGCTGTCAGTTGTTCTGTATGTTGCTTTGTTCAAGCACCTCAAAAAAAATCTAATCCTGGTAGTGTAAATAAGTTAATGTGATTATATACTGATTTCTTCAGGGCTCTTTGAAGTCTGACTGCAAGTTTTGCACCATAGTATTTGAGTTAAGCCAAGGCTTTATTTCAGAAGTCTTTAAAGTTTAAATGGTTTGAATGCTGACTTGAAATATGAATGCTAAAACAGGGCTTTGGGAAGCTGATCTAGCGTTAAATTTGCTAAACCAATTTTTTTGTGCCATGGGAGTTTCTAACTAGTGATAACTTTCTCTCCCTAAATGATATCCAAGCAGTTTTTCCTTAAGCTTTATCTGCGAGCTTGTATTTTGGCCTACACATCTTCCAAGGTTGCACGAAGAAACTCAGGTGAACAGTGAAGGTTTTGTGTTGACTTTGTAACTCTGACAACTTCATAGGATGAAGTTTCTGCTTCGTTGGCCTGGACTTGAAACAAAAAAAGTACCAACATTTTATGTATCCTGTTCTTTGGTTTTCTTACTGTGTCATGCCTTAGTTCCTTCTTTTAAACATTCTAAGATAATGATGTACCTTAATCCTTTTTTTTTAAATCTCTGTTATCTTCCCAGATTTGTTCCCAAAAGGATGGTCCCTTTCAGTTTCCCTCTGTCCAAGTGTGCACTTTGGGACCCAGTCCCCATGGGCGATGTCATTGGTGCACACGTCACCTATTACAGGTATCCATTCCCTTTTTGGGCAAGCTAAAGTTTAAAATAACTCATGGATTGTGTGATGCAAAGCCTCATTTTGTCTTTTGATTCTGTTGTATGACAAGGGCCAAAGGACAAGGAAGCAGTGGGTTTGTTATAAGCATATAGGGATTTTCACAGGAAAGATTTCAGTTTCCTTTCCTTTGTCTAACAGTTCAGTGGCTTGAAGATGCATCATTTTAAAGTAACTTAAAATTTTTTTCCATTTTCTTCTCACATGGATAAGGGATACTTTTTAAAAACAAGCATTAAAAAGAATTTGCGACTTAAACTTGCTTATTGCTTCTTTTTAGAAACCCCAGAATATATCTGGTGGAGAAAACCTTGCGGCTTGCCTATCGCCATGCCAAGCAGAATGAAAAGAAATCATTTTCCTGTGTTCTGCTTGGGACCCTGGCAGTAGATGAAGGTAATTCCAAACATGAGGTAGACAGACAGCATTGGTTGGTTGAGTAAGCTGTTGTTAAGGAGTCTGAGTTGTTGCTCTTGGACTCTAATTTTATTTATTTATTTTGAAGATGGCGAAGGCATAACGCTAACAATAGATCGCTTTGATCCTGGCCGAGAAGTTACTGGTGGATCAGGCAAAATTCCAACTGCATCCCTTCCTGGAGACTTTTTGATTCCATGTACAGTTAATGCCTGGGGACCTTGTTCAGATAATATAATAGTGCACAGTGCTGAAGATATCAGCTTGGCTTTCAAGGTAGGCAGCTCTTAGCAACTTTTGGGTCTCTTAAACAGTGAACTGTCTGCGGGACACTGAACTATGTAGAGAGCTGTGTTTCCAGCACAGCAAGGGTATGGCTGAACCGAGACTATGTAGTTAATTGTGTGAAATTAGATGCTTGAGTGTCATTGAAAAGTGTATTGGAAACTTGTAAAAATCAGTTAATCCTCACAAGTGTTTAAGGATCACACAGTCTTGGATGAAAATCTTGCTGACTGACCAAAGTTTTTCATCTGGTCTAACCACCAAAGCCAGCGAAACAAAAGAGATTGCAGCAAACTCACTTAAACAAGAGAAAATAGGGGTTTTTTGTTGTTTTCCCCTCAGAACTGTTGTTAATCAGTTGCAGTATTTGGGCAGTTGTTGCTGAAGTGTTGCTAGGCGAGTGACCCGCCCAAAACGTGTACAGCCCTATATAGGTTAGCAGCCATAGCTGAAATGTGTGCTCTGCTGTAGAAATGTAATCTACTAAATACACTTTCCGTTCCTGTGGACTTTTCCCTGTAGTTGTTGCAGTGTGTATTTTATAATAAAAATCAAGCCTGCTTCACATCTGAACTTTCTCATGATGATACATCTAGATGTTAAATTACATATTTCTTGAATGCAAGTAAGAAAACTTTGACAAATCAGCTTGAGCCTTTTAGTTGTCTGTTATTATATTTTTATATAATTGAAATAACCCCAGTAATACATCATAAAACAGTGCTAAGGTACGCATAGCTAATTTTCAAGTGTATTTTGCATTATTCATTATATTCAGCAGAGCAGTGAGCTTTGGAGACCTAGGTTAATAGCTTTTTGTATATTACCTACTGCAGTAGTAAGCTGTGATGAATGATTGGAATTCCTATTGTAATGCATCTTGAATCATGGTAATCGTATGAAAATAATTTCGTGTATTTAACTCGTCTTTTTTTTTTTTTTTTTTTTTTTTTTTTTTTTGTATTTTTTTTTTTTCGTTTTTTTTTTTTTTTTTTTTTTTTTTTTTTCTTCTAGGGTCTGCAGCAGAGTCTGTGCAGTAAAAAATCTCTGGATCTTTCTAAACTGCTCACTGTTAGAGCCCACATTGTTTTCACAGAAAACCTGGATAATCTACACTTCAATTTTTGCTGGGCTTCTCTTACTGTGGCCAATATTTTGGAATATACCCCTGTGAAACCTGTTCCAATTATTCCAACAGCACTAGCAAGAAATTTGAACAGTCCTATGAATATTGCACAAGTCCAAGGAACTTATAAATGTGGGTGAGTAAAGGGTGGTCCTAAAGCTGTCAAAGTTGCCTGTCAGTTTCTTGCCTTTCCTAAAGGAGGTGGGTAGGAGAGATCTCAGCTGTACTTTGCTTTTTAGTAAAATAACTGGCATAAAAATGGCATGTCTTCT